TTTTTTTTTTTTTTAAGAGATGAGGTCTCCCATCTCATGTAGTATAGTCATACAATCATGCCTTACTGCAACCTCACACTTCTGGGGTCAAGTGATCCTCCCGCCTCAGCTTTCTGAGCAGCTGGGACTGTAGGCACACACTACCACACCCAGCTAATTTTATCTATTTTTGGTAGAGATTGGGGTTTCACTATGTTGCCTAGGCTGCTCTTGAAGTCCTGGGCTCAATTGATCCTCCCGCTTTGGCCTCCCAAACTGTTGGGATTAGAGGTATGTGCCACTGCGCCTGGCCTCAGACAATTTTTTTTACTTTGAAAGATAATTTTAATTACATCAATTAATTTTAAATTTTAATTTTTTGTAGTGACAGGGTCTCGCTACGTTGCTCAGGCTGGTCTCAAACTACTGGCCAGAAGCCATCCTCCTGCTTCAGTCTCTCAAAGTGCTGGGATTACAGGTGCGAGCTACCGCACCCAGCTCCTCATTTCTTTTTTATTGTATAACTATTTAACTTTATATTCGTTCCCCCAACACTTCATAGGAAACAGGAATTGAAAGTGAAAGAAGATAGTTATAAAAGTATTCCCTGCACCCATCCAGGAAGCTTATTTTCTTCTTTTGCCTGAATATCTCTATGTGTTATCTTCCATGATTCACATTTTCTATGTTACTCCAAATAATGCTCTTATTCCTGATACAAGACATTAAAAGTTCTACATCAGATATATTCACCATAGGAAATTTGTTCCACAGATCGAATTAATCCTTCAGAAGAGCAAGATTATCCTCAAAGACAAATCCAGAGGAGTATTAGCATAACACTATTACCTTTTCCCCAGAAAAACTCATAACTTCCAGGAGGAGAGCTGTGAACTAAACGCCAGACCTGAGCACTAACAGATACCACAACCTAACGGGAATCAGTCTTTCAAAGAAGTTCGCACCCGGAACAGAAACTAAAATAAAAGGTTTGTTTGAGCCTTTCAAACACAGTTTTCTTATTCTGATTCTAGAAAAACATAATGTAAGTTTTTCGAAAAGTAAAAAAATAAACAAATAAAAGTAACATAAGCAAACAAAATTATCTTGCTGAAATTTTAAAATTAACTGGATTTTTTTTTTCCCCACTGAGTCTAAAACAAACCCAGCTAAACTTACTCATTTCCTTTTAAGGAAAGACTTTACAAGAATCTCTCATGTCAGATCTTTACAACTCCCCTTCTTATTATCAATACTAAAGAGCTGACTATGGCTGGAATTATAGCAAATAGGGTTCTTAGTACCGGGGCAAATGGTTAAACCTCTCTGACTGATGTAATACATAACCCATTATCTCTTCTGTTAATCTGGACCTGATTAAAACACCAGGACCTTGCCTATTCTAAACGTTTGAATAACTTCCTGCTGTTCTCAGATAATGACCCAAACTCCTTAACATGATACACAGGCCCTCTGTCATTGAGGCTGTGACTCTTTCCAAACCTCATCTTTTGGCCACTCAGGTCTCCACTTCCCATTCTGGGTTCTAGCAACAGTTACTGCTTCCAGTTTCCTATATATCTCTTGCCTCTGTACCCTTGCACCTTTGTCTGGGATGCCTCCCAGTCCCTCTCCTATTCTCAGTTACATCTTTAAGCTCTGGCATAATCTCTATCAGGAAGAATGACTTCCCACCTTGCCCCATGGTTTCGTATTAGATTATGTGTCTGTCTTCTGTATTTCTAGATTATATACTCATTGTATAATCCATCCCACAATCTATTTCTGGATGATTTTCCCTTGAGGGTTCCTTAAGGGCTGGAAATAAATCTCATCTTTGTATTTCTAGTACTTAGCTCGGTGCCTGGCATGTGCAAATGTATGTTAAATGTTTAAGCCGAGTATGGTAGCACACACCTGCAGTTCCAGCTACTGGAGAGGCTGAGGTGGGAGGATCACTTGAGCCCAGGAGTTCAAGGCCAGCCTGGATTATATGGAGCAACTTCATCTCTAAAAAAAATTTAAATATATATATATATATATATATATATATATATATATATATATATATTCCTTAATTGCATTTACCTTTATTTCCTCTATGTCTGCTTTCTGGAGCTTTTCTCTGAAGTGTTTATCTGTTTCCAGCACATCAATCACTTGCTTGAGATATTCATCATAATAAAGTCCAGTATCCTTCAAATAAAGAAACAAACAGTAACGCTTCTGCAGGTTTTTCCTTGTCTGAATCTAAAGAGGTCAATACTGAAAAATAATTTCTAGCAAAATGGTATTGAGACATATTTACTTTGATAGTTTCAACAAAGTGAAAAGTTATATTTCTGAAATGGTTTTATATCAGAACGAATATCGTCTTTTATTGTTACATAAATGTAGATTTTTCTTTTTTACAACACTCTCTAGACCAGTAGATTTTCTATATAATTCAGAAGATTTTACCATTTTGGTTTCTCCCCATTGTTATCTGTTTCTGCTTTGAATATCATACAGCATTTTCTTGGCTAGTAAGCTCTGCATTGGAAATGTATTATGATTAATTCTTCTAGCTAATATACTAACTATATTAAATAAATATTGTCTAATAGTAAACAGCATATGCTTGTCTAACACCCTTTCACTGCTATTTCAGAAATAGTTCCCAAGTGTACAATTTTATAAGTAATAAATATTAGCAATATTTTTGTGATAATTCCTCCCATTTCATTTTGTTATAATTTCACCTCATTTTACCTCATTTAGTTATAATCATAATTCATTTCATTTAGTTATACTTCCTCCCATTTCACTTCATTTCACTTACTGGTGATTCTATCTTTGCACTTTCCACAGGGTGAATATTTTGTACTTTTGTCTTGTCTATGTCTATAGGCACAGCTTCAAGAGCAGTAAGTAGAAATGTAATCAAGAGAAAGCAATACTGTAGCAGGAGAGTCCTCCACCTCATCTAAAATAAAGGAACAATTATGATAAAGTCATGAAAAAATGTTTTAACACTATAGACATGCATTCCATATGTCACATTAATAATATATTTAATTGGGGCTGGGTATGGTGACTCTTGTCTATAATCCCAGTACTTTGGGAGGCCAAGGCGGGTGGATCACAAGGTCAAGAGTTCGAGACCATCCTGGCCAACATGGTGAAACCCCATCTCTACTAAAAATACAAAAATTATCTGGGCATGGTGGCATGAGCCTGTAGTCCCAGCTAATCGGGAGGCTGAGGCAGAAGAATTGCTTGAACCTGGGAGGTGGAGGTTGTGGTGGGCCAAGATCATACCATTGCATGCCAGCCTGGGCAACAAGAGCGAAATTCCATCTCAAACACACACACACACACACACACACACACACACACACACACACACACACACTTAATCTCAAGAGGTTTAATACAACAAAAAAAAATTATAGGAAAGGGAAATAGATTATAACTTCTCAAAAATAATGCTTAAAATAGACCACTAAAGAAAATCAAGGGAGAAATGTTTTTCAGCCAAAGTTAAAAAGACAGAAAACAATATTTTAAAGTTTAAACTGTTTTTATAGTGTAAGAAAACATTTGGTTAATTACAAAACCTTCAATGTAGTCATGGCCTTCTTTTTTTTTTTTTTTTTTAAGGTTTACCCACAGAACATCATTTGAAAAAGAACACGTAACCTCATTTTCACCACAACCCTAAATGGTACTATATACACAGGATAGTGATACATTGCACAAATGAAGAAATTAATAATTAAACCAATTCCTTTACGGAGCACTGTCTTGCCATTAACAAACACTAAAACTCACATTTTACTATCTTTATAGCAATGCTTTAGCATCTTTATTGAGATATATTACACATGTCATAAAATTCACCCATTTAAGTAGAGGATATGTCTAACCTATAAAGATGCCATGCAAAGTTTAGTTCTCAATCTTACAAAATCAGATCTTCTGAAAGCTCATCAGAAATGCAAATTCTCAGGCTGTACCCAAAACCTCTGGAATGAAGACCAGGAACCTGTTTTAACAAGCTTTCCAGGGGGTTCCTACGTATACTAAAACCTGAGATCCACTCTTCTCTAGGATACTGGAAACTCTAGTAGGATAGTATACTTCACAGAATGTCTTTCTCACTGTGAAACTGCTCCTCTTCCCCAAAATTATTTTTAATAACAAAAAAGGTTTATTACTCATTCGTGCTTCATGTCCACACATACGGAGGTATGCATTTTGGGTTTTTTGAGGTATAACTCATAAGCCATAAAATGTTTTAAATTATACTATTCAGTGTTTTCTAGAATATTCACAAGGCTGTGCAACCATCTCTACTATCTAATTTTAAAACATTTTTATCATCTCAAAAAGAAACCCCATACCCATTAGCAGTCACTCACTGTTCTTTTTTCCCATCCCCTGGCCACCACTAATCTACTTTCTATCTGTATAGATTGCCTATTTTGGACATTTCATATAAATGGAATTTTATGATATGTAGCCTTTTGTGTCTGGCTTTTTTCACTTAGCAGTATGTTTTCGGGCCCAACCACACTCTAACAAGTATCAAGACAGGGGGTCTCACTCTGTTACTCAGGCTGGAGTGCAATGGCATGATCTCAGCTCACTGCAACCTCTGCTTCCTGGATGCAAGTGATTCTCCTGCCTCACCCTCCCAAGTAGCTGGGACTATAGGTGTATGCCACCATGCCTATAAAAAAAAATGATTTTTGTATTTTTAGTAGACACAGGGTTTTACCATGTTAGTCAGGCAGGTTTCCAACTCCTGACCTCAGGTGATCCACTCGCCTCGGTCTCCCAAAGTGCTAGGATTACAGGTGTGAGTCACTACGCCTGGCCAACTTTATTCCTTTTAGTTAAATAGATATTCTATAGTACAGATATACCATATTTGTTTATCCATTCATAAATTGATGGACATTTGGATTGTTTCTTTCAGGCAGTTTTGAATAATACTTCGGTAAACATTTGTGTTCAAGTTGCTATGTTAACATGTTTTCAATTCTTTTGGTTATATAAATAACTAGGAGTAGAATTGCTGAGTCAGTTTGGTAACTCTATGTTTTAACTTTTTGAGGAACTGCCAAACTGTTTTCCAAATCAGCTATACCATACATTCTCACCACCTATATATGAGGGTTCTAATTTTTCCACATTCTTCCATGTGTTTGTGTCACTTCTGCTGTTCTCTTCTTCTTCTGCCAAGTCTACCATAATAAGAGGGCAAGTCAAGAGAATGTGTTTGTATGCATGAGTGTGCATGTGCATGTGCGTGTGTGTGTGTGTGTGTATGTCCTGACAACACCTGACAACATTTTTTTTTTTTGAGACAGAGTCTCGCTCTGTCACCTAGGCTGGAGTGCAGTGGCAGCGATCTTGGCTCACAGCAACCTCTTCCTTCCAGGTTCAAGTGATTCTCCTGCTTCAGCCTCCCTAGTAGCTGAGACTACAGGCACCTGCCACCAAGCCCAGCTGAGTTTTGTGTTTTTAGTAGAGACAGGGTTTCACCATGTTGGCCAGGCTGGTCTCAAACTCCTGACTGCAGGTGATCCGCCTGCCTCAGCCTCCCAAAGTGCTGAAATTACAGGTGTAAGCCACCGCTTCCAGCCACTTAACAACATCTTCAAGTGACAAAGTCACAAAAAGTTTCTGAGAAACTACTTGAAAACACTAACTGAATTTATGGTTCCTAAAGATTTAATTGATCCCCATGCTTATTATAAATAACAATAGAAACCATCTATTGAATGTTTACTATGTACCAAGTACCATGCTAAACTTTTAAAAAATATTAACACATTAACTCTTAAAATGACTCTGTGAAATCAATATTATTATCCCCATTTCAAAGTACAAACAACTGAGGCATATCACTTCTAGTTCACACAGTGGTCAGTCACAGAGCCAGAGTGTAGACCTGGGAGTGACTGACTCCACAGCCTTTGCTGCCTTTTCAGGAGTGGTTCTCAAAGTGTGGTCCATGGGCCAGCAACATTGGCATCACCTGGGAATTTGTTAGAAATGTGAATTCTCAAGGCCTATTCCATATTTTCTAAATCAGAGACTCTGGATATAGGAGGCCTCAATCTGTGTTTTAACAAGCCCTGTAGGGGATTCTGATACATGCCAACATTTGAAAACCACTGCCCTAGAACATACTGCCTTCCTTAGTTCTATTATTTACCAACCTCACCTACAATGAGAGACAAAAGGAAAGCCCATCTCAAAGGTAAACTTGGATGTTTAAAAAATAGAAAGTGGGAAAAAATAGAAATAGAAAGTGGGTTTTACACCAAGCAGTAAGGCAGAAATAAATTTAGGTCTATATTCTAATTCCAGCTGCAACACTTACTTGCTATGTGATCACAGGTTCATCAATTAACTTTTCCCACTTCAGTTCTCTCATTTATAAAAATAAAAAAAATTTTAAATAAGAGAATTTAACTTGACCTCAGTATTAAGTACTTAGATTCTATTATGTATTTATTCTTTTGAGTACAGATCTTTCTGTTACTTCATCAGAAATACTAAAAAAAAAAAAAAAAAAAAAGTTGCTTGTACTCATGCCATTCACTTAAAATGATTAAATTATACGACTTGTAAATGCCTTTAAACTAAATCCTGCTTATTCAGCCAGCTTAGAATTATATTGGTAAAGCAAGTAGCAGGCCTGAGTGCTGAGATACAAAGATTAGCAACAAGGAAAACCAACTTGCAAAGAAAGTTTATATCTAGATACAATAAAAATGACGTAAGGCCGGGCGCAGTGGCTCAAGCCTGTAATCCCAGCACTGTGGGAGGCCGAGGCGGGTGGATCACGAGGTCAAGAGATCGAGACCATCCTGGTCAACATGGTGAAACCCCGTCTCTACT